ACGCTAAATGAGCATCCAATTGCGTACTGTAGTCGCCCGCTGAATAAGTATGAGCAAAATTACTCAATCTTAGAGCTTGAGGCGCTTGCCATAGTCTTTGCGCTCAAACATTGTTACCCATATGTTGCTAATGCCTCTATCACACTTATTACTAATCATGCTCCGTTAAAGTCACTACTGTACAGATCAGACCTTGTTGGACGTTTAGCAAAATACCAAATCATGATCCAAGCTTACAATCTGAAAATTGAATATCGACCGGCTAAACATAACACTTTTTGCGACTTTTTGAGCCGTTATTCGGTAGTAATGAACATTTCTATTGCTCCCGACTCAATTCCTAGCTTAGAAACCATCAGGAAAAGCCAGCAAAATTCTTATTTTGAAAGTTTGATCACCTTCTTAACAGGGAATGCTGAAAACCCTCCACAGCAGTTTTTGAGTTCGTTAGACAAATAGTCCATTTTCAATGGTGCGTTGTACTATTAGGCCAACAAAAGACCAAAACTTGTTATACCCGATCCTGAGCTTCAAAAGCAGATCGTAAAACTTCTTCATGACAATCCTTTGCTAGGTTCCCACTTGGGAATTCGAAAAACGTACATAAAGGTCTCGGATAAGTACTACTGGCCAAACATGCATCAGGATATCGCAAATTACGTTAGATCTTGCGCAGCCTGTCAAAAGGTAAAAACACCAGCAGGAAACATCATTCGCGAGGAGCTGGGAACTTTTCCAATCCCTCAGCGTCCTTTTGAGCGTATCCACATTGATGTAATAGGACCACTGCCACAATGTGTTGACGGTAGCAGATTCATAGCTATTACGGTCTGCGCTTTCAGTAAGTATGTTATCTGTACGCCTTTGATAAATCAAACGGCTGATCTCGTAGTAAAAGCGCTAATCAACGATGTGGTATCCAAGCACTGGATCCTTAACGAAATCGTTAGCGACAGAGGCTCAAACTATGTGAGCGACATTTCCACTCAGGTTAATAAAACTCTGGGAATTGCGAACAATTTTACCACAAGCTACAACCACAAGGCGAACGGCCAGGTTGAAAGAATGGCAAAAGTTGTTACGGATTCTCTCACAGTCTACTGCTCAGAAGCCAGAGACTTGTGGACGGAATTCCTTCAACCCATCGTTTTTGCCTACAATTGTAGCAAAAACGATACGACAGGGTACAGTCCGTTCTTCGTGATACACGGTAGACATCCGGTCACATGGACGGACGTCGTTCACAAATTACCTTCTACTCTTGCTTTTGCCACAGATAATTTCGCAGGCCAGTTCACGACAGCCCTGCAGACTACGATTGTGGAAGTGGGAACCAGCATAGCAGCGAAAACGGCTGACTACAAAGCTGATTACGATTACCAGAAGAAGGTATACAGTAAGGACCTTTCCATTGGGGATCTTGTATTGTTGCATGACGACATAGTGCGTCCAAAATTCTCACTCCAGTGGAAAGGCCCATTTGTGATTGTCTCCATGTGCCGTCCCAATGTTACCATAAAAAGTCTGTTCAACAATAAGTCACAAACGGTGCATGTGAACAGACTCAAATTGTATTACAGCAGGTCGCAGGAGCGTGAAGTCTCTGTGCAACCACAATCTAGTCACATAGATGCAGAGACTCCACGTTCTAGTGAGTCTAATCTCAGACATTCAGAGCGTCTGAGACAAGCAACGGATTGGACTCCCTCGTAATGAGTGAGAAGTGCCAGTAGCAACCTCACAAAATTCATTTACGCAGCGGCTACTGGTACAAAGTAAGTTTGCCGCAAGCATACGCACTACAAAAAGGAAGAATTTTTCGATTGGCGGGTCGAAAAACGCTTTCAAACATTCACTTTTCCTTTACGCCCTTGTGACCAACGCTAGGGAATTGTTTCCTCTCGAGTTGTGAACTCGATAATCAAATGTTGTGAAATTCCAATGCATTTATGTTGATATTTGTCAGTAGCGAAAACATAGAATTACATATTCTATCTTTTCGTTCAATATTCCATGTTTTACTTCTGAATTTCTACTTGTTGTAATATTTATACTATTTTTTATGTGTGATTTCATCCCTCCTGCAAAATCCCCCACGATATTCATCCTCAACGCCATTTTGAATAACTATCCATTCTGCTAAAACGCATATATGTCTTCCGCTCGAGGACGAGCTTTACTTTATTGACGGGACGTACGGGAGCGTGCGCTTCGCCTTCTGGCGTTCGCCCTTCTGTTTACCTTGTCTCTTACCGGCTCCTCCTCTATGCAACGTGAAGACGCAATCCAACGATCCAACCCAGCCACCAGCAGATGTCAATCCCCCACGAAAGCAACAACGAAAAAGATGAATGGTTTCCGAAGATGAATGCCAATAGCAGATGATCAATGCACGAGCAAGCAGCGCCATCAATTGTCCAGCAATCAATCGATAAAGATGACGATGATATGGTAAAAACTCGATCAATAATGAGACGACGTAGATAAAACTCGATCAATGGCAATGACGACGATAGCGCGATCGATGATGATGACAATGATGACAGCATGGTTGATGATGGTCAAATGGTCAATGGGTCTCCGAGATGATGATCAAATGCAATGACGAATTCCTTTCCGAAACCATGGTCAAAGATGAAAGCTCGAGGACGAGCTTTGCTAAGGAATGGACATGTCGAGACGCAGAGTAATTAGATGGACCAACTCTCCACGCCAACTGGGCGGTGCCCAGAATCTCCAGATGAGCTGGCACTCCCCGGGTGCTCGGTGGTCCCCTCCCCATTAATGTCCCCCATATTTTGATATATATGTTATAATGATAAAATCATCTAGTCAAGAATTCTTCTGTTAAGATGCAATACAACAGGGTAGAGGGATCAAGTCCCGAGAGTAATTAACTCGTTAGACTTGACACAAGAAGCTAGAGAGAGAGAGGAGAGGTTGTCAGAAGAGACTCTGAAAGTGGCGTTGCAAGCGTCTAGGACAAAACCGAACAGGAATTCAAACGATAAGATCCAGCAGAATTGTTCAAACTTGCGCGCAAGATTAAGCCTGCTACCACCAATGTCCGAAGATGCAGAAGACCTCTCGCAGAAGACGACGAGAATGCACGAAAATTGATTCGACAAAAAGAATTGAGTTTGTCGGAAAGGTTTTTAAGTTGGTGAACTGTTACACTCTAAGTAGTGAAAACCACCTCACATCCACTGGATAAATGGAGCCGTGATGAAACCTATCGAACGTGTCGATTAGAGAAAATGGACGGTGATGAAATTTGCAAGAAGCTCGCACATCAGCTGCGGCATCGAAGCGACAGTGAACAACTTGCCGTGCGACAACAACTCAAACAAAGTCCAAAGCCTCGAAGATACTGTTAGATGTTCAGAACAAATCACTTCTGAGAACCGGCAATGCAGCTGACGAGATTTTCGAGTAAGCGATATCAAGCGATGTGCAGCACTAGTGGACTCAACGACATCGACATCGGCATCGAGCCACGAGCCCTCCACGCAACCTTCCACGCTTCGGAGATCGAGCAGAACGAGAAGACCTGCAACGGTTTCCAGCCTATTCCATAGAGATATTATTCTATCTTTTCTATTAGGTTGTCCCATAAGTCTTTTCATACCTGACTTTTTAGCGACATTAATTAGTTCTTCTTGAACTCCTAATAAAATGCAGGATACCGTTTGAAAAAAAGCCATCTTGTAAAGCAAGCTCTACAAGATGGCGTTCAAAAGTTCGCAACAAGTTCATTCTGCAACGAGTTCGGAGCCAAAATAAAAAAATTTCCAATTTTCGAAAAAACGAAAATCATCATATTTCAGTTCAAAACAACTCTGCAGATTTCCTGCTTTCTCATGCATATACTCTCCTCATCGGATATTTATACATGCCCTTGCTGCATTTTTCTGACGGCTAGAAACCGAGAAAAAAATAATGCGCTTAATTTCCAAACGAGACACATAACACGTTAAGATACGTAAAAGATACGTACGCATGTTATACACGGAGAGCATGAACTACCAAGTTCTCTATCGGGGCTTTGCCCCGGACCCCGCAAAACGATCTCCCCTTTGCTTTTTTCACTCAAAACGATTTCTAGCCTGTCATTTCCCCATTTTTTTCAACTCTATTCTAGAAAATCAACACGTGAGCAACACCAGTGTCTACACCAGTAACTCGCCTTGCCGCTTTCCACTTTCACGATCTACCCGTTTGATTTCGTCAGGCGCATGGGTTGTTAAGGCTCTTAGCATCCCGGTAAAGTAATGAATGCTGGATGCCGTTTTTATAGCTTGGAACAGCAGACCCCGCGACTAATTCACCAGTGAAGTCTGAAGCAAAAAAGCATCTGGAAGCCTAAAATTCACTACGGAAATTTCAGGGACCTCCTCCTCCCCTCCCTTGTTCCCGCCCCTAACATACTTACACCTATTTTCCACTATGGAACTCGGAAAGCTTTGAAAAAGGCTCAATTCCGACATTTTCGGCGTTCCCATACCCACGACTTCACTATAGTAAGAACCATAGTTTTTGGGTGACATCTTATTGTTAGAATAGGGTTGTTTGATCTGCAATGAAAATATACTATCTAGAAGAGTAACAAAAGTGTATCAGTTTCAAACATCTTATATATAAAGGTGAATGTCTGTTTGTCTGTATGTATGTCTGTCTGTACGTATGTTCCAGAAAATACCATTTCTGAACCTATCGGGACCAAACTTGGCACACATACACTTCGGGACCGGGCGGGTGTCATAGGCTACTTTTCGTCATCGATCGATATAGATTTTATCGATTTTTCGCAAAATTTGAGCTACAGGGCTGGGAGTTGGCACAGGAGGGCAATCGAGCATGCTGATTACAAATATATTATTGGCAGGTCCAGGCGGAGCCAAGTTTGCCAACTAATCTTTCATAATTTTTGTCCCGCGGAATGTGGCGTTTGTCCAAAGAAAGTGAAATTACTTTCAAGTTTGTGACAGTTTGTGAAGGCCCTACATCCTGAGCGGTTTGAGACAATAAGTAGTCTGAATATGTTAATAATCGAGACTTTAGCTTTGCCAGCTGTTTAAAAAAACAAGCCGCGCATCAACAATATTGCTTGGACAAAACTTACATTCGTAATATTAGCTTCAACTGCTTTCGTCTTATTTCGAAGCCAATTTTCACGAACGAACTCCTCAAAGTCAATCACTTTCTTTGGAAATCCATCGGCTGTGGATATTTCAACTCTTCTCCTACCTACGAATCCCTTGCTCCATCTGTAAAAATACAATGAGTAAAGTCTCTCAATGTCAATGGGCATTTGTTGAATTGCATATTGTATTTGATAGCTATCAGTAAGTGCGCATACGAAGAAAAAGAGACGGATGGTAAAAATGCCGTCTTTCGTCCAGCGCAGATGATTAAAAGCAAGAGATAGCAAAGCAATGAAGAAGTATTATTAGGTTATTCTGAAAGTTTTTTCGCTTTTTGCGCCTTTGACGTTGGTGCATATTTTGAGAGAGTGCCAGAGGGCTGAGGGGTTGCTGTATATGGATCTGTGGAGGAAGTCTTCTAGTTTTTGAAAATCCCATCAAGACAGAAAGCGCTTTGTAGGGGAGTTTACGCGGCTCTAAACTCGACATATGAAAATGCGATTTTCGGAATTGCATTCTCTAAGCTTAGACTTGAATGTAAAACAGCTGAGAAAACCACCATCGTGCGCAGTGCATTTGCCAAGGCCACATCTTTCTTGGGTTAGGTTCTCAGACAATTACATCAAGAAGCTCGCGGCCTCAAAGCGTGTCACATGGCGCGCCGCGGGCTTTAAAATTTCAGCCGCGCGCGCCGCGGCCCAAGTATATTTTACTGTGAACGCCGCGGCCAAAGCTGAAATTGGGAAGAGATCATCGGGAGAGTCGCGGCTCAATCACCTCACTCGGCGTGCCGCGAGCCTTAACAAAGGCCACATTTCTTACACGCTGTAGGTTAAGGCGCAAACCGCGTGAGGTACGCCGCAGCGATGGGGATATCCTAAGTGTTTGTGAGCTTGGGTGATCGTTTCTCGGGTTTGGTCCTGCGTGACAGTTGAGTTTCTATGCTTACGAATCGAACTTCAGCAGTCGAAAAAGTGTTATCGACGACTCTAGATGATGCGGCAGATGAGCTAACAAGTTGCTCAATTTGCACTCAAATCTCATGAAAGACAGATCAAAAGATTCTTCACTCTTCCTAGGCTTCACAAGCATGCTAATCGGGTCAACTATCGGGCGCTTATGGGATGCGCCACGGTCACTTATCGGGCCCAATATCGGTTTATACCGGGCAGCTCGCGGCATGGATGATTGGTGGCCGAGCAAGCACCCGCGGACTTCCCGATGCAGATGTCTGAGTTCAATTTTACTTCAAAAAGTTCACACTTAGAGAAGTGGAAGCTAATGTGTTGCAGTGTTCTGGAAGGTGTTCCTGCCATATAAGCGAGCATCTCACAAGGGAAGGAAGGTTGGTCGAAGCGGCCTTTTGAGATGAGATCTAAACTGTTTTGTAGAGCTTGGGACGCTGATTCCAAATCTGCCTTCGGTATCTGCTGCGGCCTTCTGGACGAGGAGTTATGGGAGTTTTTGCGAGTAAAAATCTGAATGCAAGAGCGAGGTAAAATCACTCGTAACCTTTTCTCGGCGTTCAAATGAGGCGGCAGCGAGTGGATATATTTAAATCAAGATTATTTGATGCACCGAGTGACCCGAATACCAATTACCCTATAAAAAATGTTACGGCTGATTTTAGCCTACTCTTGTATTCAGATTTTTCTCACAAAAACCTTCAAAACTCCTCGCCCAGAAGCCCGCAGCAGATACGGAAGGCAGATTTGGAGTCAGCGTTCCAAGCTCTACAAGGCAATATGCATCTTCTTCTAAAAGGCCACTTCCACCAACCTTCCTTTCTTTGTCAGAGGGTCCTTTAGAGCAAATCGCAAACGTAGCTGCATAAAATCATCAGCAGGCCTAGAAGTGTCATATAGCCTCATTAGAAGCCACCTTCCTAGAGCTGCACTACCGAAAATTGTCAGTGACATATATCCCACAAACTGTCGCACGTGCAGATTGAGGGCGCCTTGACTCTGCTTTCATTGTTCATAATTTGATGGAGCAATCCTTTTTTGGCCTGGGTTATCAATTACAGCAAAAAATTGGCCAAATGCGGCTACTAGAAGCGACATCGTATTAAATCATTCGGAATAAGCACTGAAAGCATGACCAGAACAATCAGTCATTCCAAAAAGTTGATATACTCAAATTAACGTACCCTCGATATCATTCCATATGTCTTCCCTCAACATGACGTGGATTACATGGTTTGATGAGGCGCCGCCTCGCCTCGGGCTTGCGCCACGTTGCGTGCGCATTTTCGGCGTGATGTGGCAACAAGAAGAACCTGGAAAAGCCTGCGCCACGTCGCGCCAAATGATGCGCTCGCAACGTGGCGCGAGCCCGAGGCGAGGCGGCGCCTCATCAAGCCACGTAATCCACGTCATGTTGAGGGAAGACATATGGGATGATATCGAGGGTAATCCTGCTGTATTGCACGCTATAACTTGCTAAGATGCAGTTGTACTGTAGGAACAGAGTAGTGTGATATCGCTCTGAAGACCGTCTGTCAAAATTTTCAAACTGAACAGACTTGCACGTATAACCTATGTGAGATGCCATACTCGCCCATGACGCCGTCAAACCACATGTAAGAAAGGTGGCTTTCACAAAAAAAAGTTGACTGCGTACCGAGGTTCCTGTTTTTTCGAACTCTTTAGACCTTCCTTTACTAATCACCGAATTTCCTAATTCCTCGGTGCCTATTAGAAAAGAATAGGACTCAATGAAGATTAGCTAGTCAAAAACGTCTTTTTAGGTCTTATTGGTTCCTCTGAGACTATTTTGCAAGGAAAAAGCACAAGAGCACTTATAATAGTGTTACCAGATAAACAACGTGAAACCTATTTCATGGAAAAAGGTTGAACCTGGATAAAATTGCGCTTGTTTGAATTTAAAGGTGCGAAAAAACTTTTCGAAGGACCTAATAATAAACCAAGACATTAATGCAGAACTCAACCACAAATTCTTGTAGCTTGCTCACAACCTGCTGAAACGCCTTCATTCTCAAGACTTGCTCATATTACAAGCTTTTCATAATTTTTCAATTTATATACAACATTGAAACAGCGATGCATTGGAGGTGCCGAAAAAGCTGTATAGGAAGCTCTTTCTTATCCTAACATACTTGAGAAGCTCGAAACAGCATAAAACTTCTATAGGGCAAAACTCCTATTAGTCACTGAAGCTAAAGCTTTTAACTTATTTGTAACTATGAAAACATTTTAGTCTCTCTTTTTACCTTTCCGTTATCCTCCAGCAAGCTGGGCTAGCAAAAGGCTACTATTTTGCGACAGGCATGTATCAGTGAGCGTCAGTAGAATTGCTGTTTTGATGTTCTTTTAAGGCACTGAGTTTCTGAGTGAATGTGGAGGTTTTATTCAATCTATGTTTTCAACACTTCCTTTCATTATGGATTATTGTCAAATATTGCAGCACTCAAGCTCTTGATTGTCTTCCTGTTACATATAAGTTAGCTCGTTTCAGTCCTCCTGTCGTTGATTTACTTTCAATGTCGACGGAGTTTACGTATTTGTTTGTAGTCATAGAATTGGGTGAGCACTGTGCACGTTTTTTGGAACACTTTGAGTATGCAAACTGGAAGGGGGCAGGCAGTGCAAAGTACTTCTACTCCATTGATCAAATGAACTCAAATCAGCACGACTGAGTAAATTATGACTGAAATGAAGCGCCTATCATAGTCGGCGGTCACTACAGTAACAGACTGGCTGCTGCTCACCTTTGCGCGGTGTCAACGTTTAAATACAGAAAGTCCCAAACAGGGTCAAGCGTGTTGATGCGATCCGGGACCCCCATTTACGACCCCCCCCCCTTGAAGGTACCCATCCGTACGACCCCCGCTCCATCTACCCCCCCCCCCTCCCCATTTCCCCCCTTACCTCCTCTGCCCACATTCCTCGCGGCAACCTGCATAAACGAATGTCAATCTCAAAAAACATCAGCGTGGAACTTCAGTGAGGTTTCGGAAGCAGAATTTCTAAGCCAATAGGTGCACCCAGCATGTGTAGCGCACATACACACCTTCAATAGTGTTTGAGACGCAAGTTTTTTTTGAATTTTCAGGCATACTTTAGGCCAGCTAATTCGGTTCCCGTAGGCAAAACAAATCTTTGCACGAAGAAGAAAATGACATTCTTGAATAACAAAAGATTTTTCCACTAAGAAGCTTAATTCCTACCTCTTCCACATTTTTTCCCGCGAAAAAAACCGCTTGAGCGCCGTCCAGAACAACGTCAAAAACGTGCATGAGCACGGTAGTTTGAAAATTCGTAACTAAGGCCAGGAAAAGACTGAGAGGCTGCAAAGCACAGTTTCTGTACTATAGTGCCCAGACTATTCATAGAAAAAGTTTCAGCTCTTGAGGAGCAGTAAGCTCGAAAAAATTTAGATGCGACTCTCGCAAATTTAGATGCGATCCTAAAAAGCAAAAACTTTTTAGGATCGCATCTAAATTTTGAGCTCAAAATTTTGTAACTTATCGGAGAAGTTATGAAACGGCCTGAAATTTTTAGGATGGATAGTAGGAGGATGGCCTCGTATTACGGCAAAATTGCCGCCAACAAGCTTCAACAGCTCCAAAAAAATTTAGATGCGACCCAGATACGACCCCCGTTTTGTCATTTTTTGCCACCATACATAAAATCATAAGAAAATCCGAAGGCCATAAAGTGGGACCAAATTTTGCACAAGTGTAATAGAGCACCTCTTAAGTACACATAAGTTGTAAGGACCGTATGAAAAGCATTACAAACAGATTTACAAATTATTGATAATTAGCGTTGATAGAGATATGCGCTTTTGTCGAGCGTGTGAGTCTTCATTGAGCCTTCGGAAGCAGGATGTCTATACCAATCGGTACATCCAACATCTTTACCACACATACATGTTTTTAGTAGCATTTGAGCTTCTAAAAGTGTTTATTTTTTAATTTTAGTCATGTCAACAGGGTTCGATCCCCGTTTGCGACAATATTTTGCGGGAGAAATAGTGATTCCCATAAAAAAATGAAGTAAGTCATAATCTTTCAAAAGCGCAGCAAATGAAGCGAGTTTCTACGTTTGCAAGTGTTTTCAAATTATTGTTCACGTTTTTATTTGATACACTGGACACGACATTCCATGAATTTATTGTTAAGAACATGTAATAATTATTTACCATCCGATTTCCTTCCATGCTTACGGTTTTTTAATCCAAACTACCTCCTTTTACGACCCCCCCCCCCTCACCGTAAGTACCCGCTTACGACCCCCGTTGCGACAGTCGCATCACACGCTTGACCCTGGTCCCAAACCTTGGTAGCCTTTCCAGATTTTTGGACGCTCTTTTATCATTGCTGGATTATGACCGATTTGAATACAAAGCTCGTGAGATCAATCTCCTTTCAAACTCTGCTTCTCCAAAAGCGGACGAGTCTTCCAGAAATAGCCTCGCTGTATACAACGGGAAATGTCGTCATATGCAACAAGAACACACTAGCACAGTATTTTTCCCTAAGCTGGCCATGTCAAAACGCGTCAAGGATAATTCTTGAGTCGGCGGGATTTAGCATTTCTTAGATTGCTTTATTTTCTATGTTTTGTCTTTGGTCACATTAAAAACTTAAACCAATGCAGATACTTCTACAGTGCTGGCCAAAACTATACTTCCACCCTGAAAACTGCCGTAACTCATCTGCTTCTCAACGAATTGATCTGAAATTTGGTACAGCTGTGTGTTTAACAGGCTACCATCAGTATCTGAAAAGAATCCCGTTTTTGTTTGATTATTCAGGAAAAAACAGAAATTTCGAAAAAAGCAGGCTTGAAGGTTGGCCAAAACCATACTTCCACTTAAGGTTTCTGTCCACTAAAGTAATTCTAGGCTTCCAAAGTTTTTTGTGCATATACATAATCAAAAGTCAAAACAGTCGCTTTAGTCCAGGTGTGTCATACCTTTATAAGAAACGTTTATCTGCCTTTTTTCGTTTAAAAATACTTTCATGCGTATTTTGTTCCCGAGAATGTGTTTTTATGGGTGATTTCGCAGTTTTTTGACTGTTTTGGAAGCATTAGGTCTCAATGTTTCTTATAGATGCTTAGCGAAGTGAGAACTAGAAAAAAATTTGAGTTTTCATATTTTAAAGGGCACCCGACATAGACCCGACAGCGAATCTGCGCTCAAATTTCTGCCTTCAAAATAGGTTTATGCTATTTTTGTGAGCTCAAAATGATGTAAAGCATTGTTTGCATAAAAAGAAGTTTGTACACTATACTTACGATTGTTCGCCAAGTAATATTTTGCTTCGTTTTCAAAGCATAGATCTTCGCGGTTCAGTGATAATATTTAGGCAATCCCAAAACACTACCAATTGGAACCTTACCTGATTTTTGTCACTCTTTAGTGCTAGATAGTGAAAACACCCTGTATAATTCCTTGTGACTCACATGAGTATCACGGTCAGAACCAAAAATAAGTTCAAAGCTTTTTGCAAATCAGTTTTTGCAGGGTGAATTCCTCAGTTAGCCTGCATGCTAAGACCTGCGGAAATCTGCAACCACTGCATCCGGACTCTCTCCGTACAACAATGTTATTGCTTTACTCCACGCTCATGAGAACATTGCAGAAAGAGTTTAAAAGCAAAAATGTGAGCGCAGGCTTGCTGTTAGGTCTATGTCGGGTGCCCTTTAAAATATGAAAACTCAAATTTTTTTCTAGTTCTCACTTCGCTAAGCATGTATAAGATAGAAGAAGCCCTATCGTTTCCAAACCAGTCAAAAAACTGCGAAATCACCCATAAAAACACAATCTCGGGGACAAAATACGCATGAAAGTATTTTTAAGCAAAGAAAAAAAGAAAGAGAAAAAGTAGATAAACGTTTCTTATAAAGGTATGACACAGCTGGACTAAAGCGACTGTTTTGACTTTTGATTATGTATATGCATAAAAAACTTTGGAAGCCTAGAATTACTTCAGTGGACAGAAACCTTAAGTGGAAGTATAGTTTTGGCCACCTTCAAGCCTGCTTTTTTCGAAATTTCTGATTTTTTCCTGATAATCAAACAAAAACGGGATTCGTTTTAGATATCAATGGTAGCCTGTTAAACACATAGCTGTACCAAATTTCAGATCAATTGTTGAGAAGCAGATGAGTTACGGCAGTTTTCAGGGTGGAAGTATAGTTTTGGCCACACTGTATAGCCTGCTTGTAAGCATGGCAAACAGAGTGGCACTGATTTTGCTGGCACACGAACCTTGGCTCACTGCATCACTGCGATAATTTGATTAGAAATACACTGAAGTCATCGCTTGCTAATTATTATAGAGGACCGGCCGCCGCCTGTTATCGTCGGCTCAGTACGCGCCACAGTCCGCGTCACACTGAAACTCATCATTGAAGCGTGTTTTTGCGCTGGCGTATCAAATATGCAAAAAGAGTTAGCACCATGCTAGTATCCACCACCACTGTTCATCATTTGTAATCACCTAGCATAGGCACATCTGCCCGAAAAGGACAAGGTCCACGGCAAATCCATAACCTCATGCCGTACACTTTCCAGAACTCCTTGAAGAAGCCTCATTATGCAAAAATAAGTATGCTGCTTGTATTTAGCATACCAGATAACCCTCAGACCAATCAAAGCCAAATTGCGGTTTTGACCCCAACACACAATGCAAAGAAAAAATTAGTTGTCGAATTTCATAGATAATGTGTGGGATAATGCCCATTTATTGTGTTCCAGCAAAAATCACAGCTTTGAAATTTGAGGCCTGGATGTTAGAATAGCGCCTCGTAGAGGCGGAGTGCTTGCACATTGGTATATAAAACTCCACCATCCGTTTAAGACTTATGCGGGAAAGGAGGCCGCACAACATGTAATCCTACCAGAGAGAACAGACTAAACACACAGCGACTCTACATTTCTACATTGCTTTACTAGTCATCTTCAGATAATGAGCGTGAATTGTGAAGCCTACAAGTCGTAGATGTTCATCCTTGTTGCGATGTCTGTTGCGAAAATTCCTCGAATTGTATTCTAACGGATATAGCGAAGTTATTGTGACTTAGTGAATGCGATACTCTCGTTTGATAGGAAGGAGCGCCTCAAAACCACATTTAGCGACATGTAAATCAATAGTTTTTGGATTGGTATTACTACCAGAACTCTGCCCCGAACTGAAGTTGATGAACTTTTTGACAAATTTGGAATTTCGCTATTGTCATATTTCCCGTGACTAAACAAGCATGTGAGTGGACAGAGTCACTGGCTCTAGATTTGCGTAATTGACATCCTATCTGTCCAACCTGTCCAACTATGAAGCCTTGTCTTCTTGGTGTACAGAGTGAGTCTAATCCGGACCGTGCAAAAAAGGTTGTAATCTCAGCAACAGATTGCATTATTTTTATACATGTTCTATCCTTTCCAATAATAGGAAGCAGACAATCAAAAATGGAGGAATTTTCGTCTGCGTAGACTCATGCCTATCTTTACTGTATGGTCTCTCCTTACTGCCTGCTCATATTTTAGTGGCATTTTAATGTTTGACCCATTGTTACAATAAAAGCAATTGTTTGGCGTCTACCACCTGCCCAAAAGCACACGAGGCAGAGTGATTGATTTGTTTGGGGAACTGCTCCGCCAAACGGAGCCATAACGAAATCTACGCACTGAAACAACTTTGAAATACACTTTTCGTTTGGTAGCTCAGAATAGTAGGCAAAAGTCTCTCATGCTTAATGAAACGAGTATACGGATGCACGCGTCGCCTTTGAGCCGCGACGCGTATTGAGCCGACGGTGACGGGCGGCGGGCCGGTCCTCGTTATTGTAGAATAACAAGTACATAAGAGAATGTGAACGTACTTTTTCATTCGGTCTGGCAGCATTAGTCTTTTCCAATTTTTCACCTGAGCATGAAGAAATCAGTTTGTAGAGCACGTGTGCGATAAACTTACCGCCCATACTGTTGGTAATTTTGCATAGTAAAACGAGGAAATGCTTGAATATAGCCCGGCAACACAGTAAGGAACGGTAGCCGTTAGGCACATTATTGCATTGCTAACGAGATCCTCCGATTTTAGATAAGCTCTTCTACAAAAACCTAGATTTTAAGAGACTTCGCTTAGTTGTTCAAGCTAACTTCGCAAGGAGTGAACATTCAAAATTCTCGCTCATCACTACATAGGACTTTGTGCGATCAGGTGCTGCGCTCATATGACTGACCTGAAATGCTTCCATATTAGACTGAAAATGGCTGTTTGTAAACTCTTACCGTTTCCTTTAGGCTTGTTTGAGAGATGTTCACTATATATACTATCAGCAAGGCAATTACAGCAGCCGTGAATGCCAGCGACGCCACATAACATCTACAAAATTTATAACAAATCATTATTAAAATAATTATATAGTTTCTAAAAGGTGAAGGGCAAACAGCTATTATGGTCGTTCCGAAAGTGGTTTCTGTAGGAAACGTCACATTCCGGAAACTAAGCTTTGAGATTTTTTGAAGCATTACGTTTTTTTGCTCATGTATGATGGCCAGGGTCAAGCGTGGGGTGCGGCACGCCACACCTGGGGGCTCGTATTGAGGAGTCAAAAGGGGAGGGGGTCGTAGTTGGGCAATCTGATAATAGTGATAACATGATATTCGTATCCTATCCATAATTAGCATGTCAAATAACCCTGTAGACAAAGTGTGAGCGAATTTCAAAGATTCAAGATACTAGGCTACCTAGTGAAATGGTCAAATTCCAACAACTAACGGTTAACTTTGTTTCGAAGGTGAATTAGCTATCCGTTTTTGCACTCAAGACAAAGCACTACACCTTCTTTGCCCAAGTCAGGAATCCCACTTCAGAAGACCTCCAAACTGTGGAATTAGAAGCCAACCAAAATCTTGTTTTTCCCATTTTTTGCTTTTGATCGCTGTGCTTTCACCAAATATTATTTAGAGCTAAGAAGACGAATCAGGCTCAAAACAGTCCTATGGAATCTACAAGGTTTAGGCTATCGAACCATATAAATATTGGCTAAAAATGTTTTCTTGATATAGTTAATGGGTTGCGGCATACCCCCTTAAAAGCTGCGGCCGCCGCATAGTTCAGGGGGGGAGGGGGTCTTATTGAGACAGCAATCAGGGTGGGGGGGGGGGGTCGTAACCAGCGATCGTGTGCCATACGCCTTGCTTGACCCTGATGATGGTATTTATTGCAGAAGCCAATGAGCTTTCAGAAGAATGAAAGTTATTGAATGCATGGTTTTAATGGTCAAGTTTCGCTCTCACATCTATGTACTGATTTTCTGAACAGTTCAAGTAACGAGTGAATGGAGCAAACGCTACAGAATACAAAGCAAGTTTTCTTTCTTCTAAAGCTTACTTTTCGAAAATTCGAAAATCATCTCTCTGATGCTACCAAATTTACATATGGTCAACTCAAATTTTTTAGAACATCAGCCAGTGAGCAACTCGCTTGCCATTTGATGCAGCATTTTGTTCGTCTTTTAGCAGGTACTTTTTGTTTCTGAATTGCGACTGTGTTTGATTGCGTTTCGGGAGAAAAGCACGTGCTCGGTCGACTGGAAAATCGTACTGTCTTTAGAAAGCCATTTTCCCATTTTTTGAAAGCCGGCGAAGCTAGAGCCTATAGGCGGAGGCAAGCTGACTACAACCAAAAAAACGGGTGTTGACTCCAGACGTGACTTCTGCAATCTTCTGGTTCATGCAATCAAAAAACCAGAACAATCTAATTATTTCAGATTTCTCTAAACCTCTCTGTTGAAAATAAAGGTGTTTCTCGCGAGTCAGCTTCAAAAGATCCTTCCAAATTTTGAATAGCGTACTAAGAAAGAGTTGAAGAATTGTTTAGCCCGAATGTTTCCGACTACAAGCCAAGGTTGTGCCTTCTAATGAAAATATTAAAATTAAACAGTTTGACATATTCATAGCTTAACCTTTTTATCATGATTTGAAAAACAGATCGTCGTAAACATTACTTTTCTAAACCAAAAGAACATGCCTCAAAACTTGCCGGGGCGAAGATTGTAGAGATGAAACACACACACACACACACACACACACACACACACACACACACACACACACACACACTCACTCACACACACACACACACACACACACACACACACACACACACACACACACACACACACACACACACACACACACACACACACACACACACACACACACACACACACACACACACACACACACACACACACACACACACACACACACACACACACACACACACACACACACACACACACACACACACACACACACACACACACACACACACACACACACACACACACACACACACACACACACACACACACACACACACACACACACACACACACACACACACACACACACACACACACACACACACACACACACACACACACACACACACACACACACACACACACACACACACACACACACACACACACACACACACACACACACACACACACACACACACACACACACACACATATATATATATATATATATATATATGCATACACACACACACACACACACACACACACACATATATATATATATATATATATATATATATATGCATACACACACACGAGTAAACAGTATACTTTGGACCATATCGAATGATTATTCGATTATTTGAATAAATATTTGAATGAGAATGATGAAAATTCGAATATTCGAAAATCTAAGATTTTGAATAATATTCGATATTCAAGTATTCGAAAGTTTTCACTTTCGAATATTATTCGAAAGTCGAATACTCAAAATTCTCAACTTTCGAATATTATTCGATAATCGAATAATCGTTGGTCATTAATTCGATCATTCGATGTCCATGGAATATTCGATTGTAAGCACCGAATGTTCGGAGATTCGATAAAAACTGACTATTCGAAAATTTAAAGCATCGAATATTCGGAAATTCGTTATCCACAACATATACGGGGTGTCTCATGGGTATCCACAAACTGTTTAGTCGCTAATACCTCTCACGAAGTCTTTTGCCAACCTTTAAGTAACATCCTGTAGGGATGGCTTCAGCTTACAAACACAGCAGAAAGCAAATCATCTATGTTTTTCTTGTTGAGTATCGCGGTATGAACTTCCAACGAAATGAGACATCCAAAAGAATTTCCCCAACAAAAAAAGAGATTTGAGATCTATGCAGCAGGTTTTTACGTATGCTTAACTATGCATGGGCCTTCAAACCTTTTAAATGTGCATTCTCGTTTTGGAAAGCGTTGAAAAAGTCTGTTACGGTATACCTGGCATAAGTTGCAAAAGGCGTTACGGTTGAGAGCATCTTTTTATACTGAGTGTCTTTAGAGGCCTTGTTTAAGAGCGGCCTTTTTGTTTCTCAATCTTGGGCAAACGGCTCTTGGTATCTCAAAACCATCCTCAGTTTTCCTACGGTAATCTACAACAGTGAAAAGCGATTAATAAATCGCTTCATATTGTGATCTAGGATCATGTCAGCCCACAGATCCACATACTGTTGGGACCCCTGTATGCCAGTCCACAACTCTCAATGAAAATAAATAATCTTTTTTTGAAGTTTGAAATTCCTTTGCAGCTCACAAGAGTAAGCTTTTGGGTTCTTAAAGGCAGCGTCCCATAGTGCGGGTCCGGGATTTTGTGGCGATGTTAAATTAGAACCCCTACCTGAACGGTGACTGAAGTTCGGAGCGAAAAAGAGGGTGTGGTAAGCCTGAAAATTGCTCCCAAAGTGCCCGTGTTACGGTAGGCCCGAATGCCGCCCGTACAGCGAATTCGAACTGCAAGGCCAGAGAACGCATAGCGCACACAGTCATGAGTGCAGGGTCCCGCAACGACTCTGCGTCTCCACCTTGCATGCATCTCGTACACACGAGCCTGCCGTAAGAAGCGGCCATTTTCGGGGCAAATTTCAGACCTGGTAGCCCCCTTTTTCGCTCCGAACATCAATCATCGCTTAGGTAGGGGGACTATTTTTTTGTTCTAGGGCTGCCTTTAAGTCTCTTCACGTCATCACTGAACCTTTTTCATCGTAAATTGAAACATAAAAGAATGTTATTCCTGATACATACCTGAAAAAATTTATTCTTACAAGAAAGATCCGTTTGGTCGAAGTGGCCTTTTCACATAAAATTGATACGACTACAGAGAGCCTCAAACGCTGATTCCAAATCTGTCTTTGCTACCTGTCGGGCTCCTCTGGACGTTGAGTTATGAGCGTTTTTTGAGTTGAAAAATTGAGTGCATAATTGAATTGTGACAAAATTTGTCAGAATTGCTCATATGGTCCAATCTCAATTATCAGGGCACCCCATGTGAACAATACCTTCTATCTAAAACACTCGTACATAACACTACTCTATTTGAGCGCTGAGAAGACCGTAAAATTTGATGTTACCTAGATTTGGCGTCCATTTTTCGCATCAAGAATATGTATAACTCGTGCAGAGGCGCTCGGCAGATAATGAAGTCAGTTGCGGATTCACCGTTTTATGCTCCTCAAATTAGTAAGATTTTTTTGGAAAGCCCACTTCGACTAATCCAACCTTCCTTGTCAGATGTTTTGATCTCTCACAGGTATTCTCACTGACATAATTCATTCGGATAGTATTCGAAAACCGAATGGTATTCGGAAATCGAATATCAAATGATATTCGATATTCGAGTATTATTCGATTCGAAAACTTCCACTTTCGAATAATATTTGATAGTCGAATATTCGAAATTTTCGATTTTCAAATAAAATTCGATAGTCGAATATTCGAAGTTTTAAATTTTCAAATACTATTCGATGGTCGACCACGTGCTTTCAAAATATTTTTCTCTGAAGTTACGAATTGTACAAACCAATTTGTCTTAGCATTTGTCACCGTGTATATAAAATTAGACTCACTCAATGGAATATCCTCCTGCCCCTAGCTCATACAACCTTTCACGATTTCTTTCAGCTTCTTCATAAGCTCGGCGCTTATATTCGTCGGAGAGCGATTCTGGAAATGTTCTATGACATCAAAATAACGACCCGTCAAAAGTGGTTTTTACAGATTCTATGTTATTACGATAGAGATTGGTGGTAAGCTCCTGTATGTTGCATTACAAAGCAAGAGACCAAGTTGGCTTTTTTTCAGAACCCTTACAAGCAGGGTCAAGAGTGTGATGCGATTGTCGCGACTGGGTCGTAAAGAGGGACACCCACCGTGAAGGGGGATTGTAAGAGGGGCAGTCCGAATAGATCCGTAAGATATGAAGAATCAAGTAGCAATACATGTTCTGTACGATAAATTTATAGAATACTGCTCATCAAAGTATAAAATGAACAGTGCTGGCCGTAAGTATCATTGGAAATTCGAAAA